AAAACAATCGTGGAAATGATTTATAAAGTAAGAATTTGCTTTCGGGACAAATCAACTACAGACATGCATGATTCAGGAAATAGCACAGATGTGTTTCATGAATTATATTTTGTTCCTTCACCCAATGATAAAAGACAATTTCACGATTTTCTAACGAAAACTTGATCGATACGATCAAATTGTTTTCATTCAGCGCTACCATCCATCAGGCAAGAAACTTTCTTTCTTAATCCTTTATTGGACAACGATACCTTTTATAAGGACATCAATGATGATGTGTATGATTATAAAGATTTGGATTACGATAATTACCAATTTAAAACTTCGGATATGGATAATAGCAACGAATCTTCTACCGTATCTTATTATAAGGAATATACCGAGAGTGTGGATGATAACGAAATACATTATGACGCGAGCCCGACAGTAATTTTCAATTTTCTGACTGATTCAACAATTACTGAACATTTCTATACAAGTTCTACTTTGTCCCAAAGCGAAACTACAACGTCAACAACCCTCGAATCAAACATAATAGAAGGTATATTATACTTTCTATGTCTCTTTATATGCTTAATTAATAATTATTCAGATTTCTTATCAGCTAAATACAAACTAATGATAATATCACATCAATATTACAATTTCCTACATTCAATATAAGCGTAATATAACACATGCTGTACGTAATTACATTGTTAGTTTATGTTTAGTAATTTTATATATATATGTACAGTGATTGACTTGTATAATCATTTGAAAGAGCAATTTTTTAAATATTAGAAATATACACTCTGAAACTATTTTAAGTTATTTTAAATACTTAATTAATAATCATAATAATTGATATGAGATTTATAATGAATAATCAATTGTATGCCATCGTAGATTCATCGAAAACTGATTTTGATGATTTTATAGAAGGAACAATAACTACTCCGTCAACTTCAGACAGCGAGACGTCATCTGTTAGCAAATTTAACATTACATCTGCAGTAACAAACACAACAATTACAACGCATATTCCTGAAAGTCAATTTCCTACTTTACAACCGAATAATAAACATGTGATTCCTCTTTCAAAAGACAATTGTGTGGATAGATGTTTCGAAAAGATTTGTACTACGAAAAATTTAGGTAAAAAAAATGTCTTTTTTTTTTTAAATCAAATTTGTATTTGTTATTTCTCTTCAATTTTTGACAATAGATACATTTATTTTCAGGTACACGATTAGAACAACTAAATCTGGAGACACGCAGAAAGCTGCGTCGATCATGCTGGGAAACTATGTTTGGGCAAGAACTTGCTAAGCTCACTGTCATGGATTTGGTAAGATACAAAACAAATTTCACGAAATCCAAAAGTTGGATCAATCAATATTGCTTATTATATGTATTTTTTAATATGATTTATACTAGATACTCACTATATTAGCCACTCTCGGCATGGATTTCTTCCGCGCTGTTTTCGTGCGTTTTATGAACAACTTTTGGTGCTGGGATTTAGAGAAACAATTTCCGCAATACGGTGACTTCAAAATAGCTGAAAACATTCTCCATTTAGTTAACAATCAAGGCATGGTTTGGATGGGAATGTTCTTTAGTCCTGGTTTAACGGCACTGAATCTCTTTAAGCTTGGTGTTCTAATGTATTTACGTTCTTGGGCGGTTTTGACATGCAACGTACCTCACGAAATAGTCTTCAGAGCGTCCAGGTTAAAATGCATTATTTGTTATTGAAAATTATGTTACACTTTTCTTTTTTTTGCCAAACAGAATTAAATAATTAAAATGCGCGTGTTTATGAATAGTCGAACATCACGCATTGTATTTAAATCGTTCTTTTAATTTTATGTATGCACTTATCTATATTTTTTTACCCACAATTATTCGCTGCAAAATCATTTTTATATATTACAGGTCTAACAATTTTTACTTTGCGCTGTTATTGACTATGCTATTTTTGTGCGTGTTGCCGGTCGGTTATGCTATAGTCTGGGTCGAGCCTTCGTGTTATTGTGGTCCATTTTCTGGTTATCCAAAGATTTATAATTTAGCGACGCAAAGTTTGATAAACTCGCTCCCGAAGATAATTCAACGGTACGTTCTCTTCTGATAGAAGCATTTATGATGCAAATTTATTTCATTGCTTTTACGATGCAAATTTATTTGAAATGTAGATTATCTTTTGTTGATTACAGTCAAAATAATTATGCATCTCAAATATAATCTATTGAAAACTTTATTCTGATTTAGAGTTCTTGATTACGTTGCATCGCCTGGTATAGTAATACCACTGATTGTTCTCATGACGTTGATTATTTATTACATGGCATCTCTCACTGGATCTTTGCGAGAAGCGAATAACGATCTAAAGGTAAAACTATATAAGGTGATCCAGACCAATCGCAGGAATCGGCATGTATGTGTTCTTTATGAAAAACTGAGTCGAAAATGTTAATAGCAAAATGTTGAGTCATTAGTTTTTAAATGAGCCTTTGAAATCATCCAACCATGTGTAGAGTGTAAAATTTGCGCCATCAAGCGCGGCGCAATCAAATGACCGACCACGATCGCGCTTTGACGGATATCGCTAAACGTCACGATGCTGAATAAATATTGAAAAGATTCCGTGAAATTTTTATTAACATCTGCTACTGTATTCTTAAATTGAGCTCAATTTAATTGACAAGGAATAATTTCAATTGCAAATTCGACGAATATAATTAAAAACTGTGTCTTTTTAAAATACATATTTTAAGTAATAAACAAATATTAATAAATTAAATCAATATTAATTAAACTATCTGAACAAGTAACATTAAAGACATTAGCCAACAAACATTTCCAAAACTTCTTTTCAAATAGTTCTGTCATAAATAATATTAGAAAAAAATTTACATTTGATATAAATAAATATTTCATATTTATATGAAATGAAACGAAATTCCGAATTACGATATAAGAAGAAATGAAAGTACATTACAGTGAATGAATTGAAATAAAAGAGCAAATAATAAGCTGTATTGTTACTAAAAATTACATTAAAATGTAATTTTATTATTATTAAATTTTTTCTAATATTGTTTATGACAGAACTATTTGAAAAGAAGTTTTGGAAATGTTTGTTGACTGGTGTTTTTAATATTATCTATTTGGATGATTTAATTAATATTAATTTAATTTATTAACAATTGTTTATTTAAAATGTATATCTCAAAAACACATTTTTTAATGATGTCTTATCGAATTTGCAATTGAAATTACTTCTCGTCAATTAAAATTAATTTAAGAATGCAGCAGTAGTGACATTAATAGAGATTTCACGGATCCTTTTCAATATTCATTCAGCATCGTGATATTTAACGATATCCGTCAAAGCGCGATTGTGACCAGCCGCTTGATTGAAACTGTAAACTTCACACGCCGTGGTTGGACAGTTTCGAAAGCTCACCATTCAAAAATTATTGACACCTCAACATTTTGCTATTAACATTTTCAATTCAATTTTTCATGAGAAATATGTACATACCGGCTCTTGCGGTTGGTTTGGATCATCCTGTATAAGGGAATATGTGGTATATAAATTATAAAGCTTCATTAAATTGTATATAATGTTCAATATTTTATACTTAATTGTTATTTTTAATACTTATTATTATTATTAATTTTATATTTATATAAATGTGTTGTTCTAGATGCAACTGCGACAGGAGCGTACAGAAGAACGTCGAAAATTGTTTAAAATAGCAGAGAAGAAACATACCGTAGCTGAGACTCCACTATCGAAGTGGAAAAAGATCCTTCCGACGTTACCACAGGTCAAAATATCTCAAAATTCCGAAACAGTTCAAAAGGAAAATGTACAGATCTCAATTGGGAACGTGAATACAGTGGTAGGTACAGTTGAAAATAAAGACTTGAATGACACCGAAGAATATTCACGTCAGGATCAAGTATTGTCCAATTACGACAACGAGCAACGAATTGAAGAACAGGATGGCTTGATATCAAACGATACATCTTCTAACAGAAGGTATGATAAAACAATTAATTGCAAAAATGAAATTGGCAAGCTTTTCTATGCAAGCTTCTAATAAATAGATTGCATAATTAAAAATATCAAATATGTTTATATGTTGCTGAATTACGCATAAAAAGTAATTTTCATAAGCAGATTGACAAACGTAATTGGATGTTCTTCGGATTCACCGTCGAATAAGCAAAGTGTTACCATATCAGAAATCCAAGTAAACAATGAAGAAAAAGTCGTATCTGACGTAAATATTGAATTGGATGATGTCCCTGAAAACGGCAATCAAGAGATAACGTAACAAATTGAGTGTAATATAAACTATTACAAAAAAATTAAAATAATAATTTTGTAAGGATCTGAGAAATGCGATTTTTCAGAATTCGTTTTGTACTAGTTCATAAAAAAATATTAAAAGAGAATCTCTTTAGAATTATAAATTAGAATTATAGATTTAATATTAGTCATCTCATTCTTCAAACATATAATACAGCATATAGTATATTGCGCTTACTTTTATGTGATTGTAGATTTTCTGAAATATAAAATTTGTAGACACCTTGTAATTATTCATTTATTTCTACAAATATATGTGTGTAAAATATCTATAAATATTTATAAATAATTATCGCACATTGCTGAAGACGCTATCTCTAAACTTCCGGATTTGTAACGGATTCATAGAAACGCACACTGTACACGCAAAATCACATTTTGATTGAGCATTGGCACATTCCTAATACCTTTATCTTATCAGATTACATTAAATAAACATTGAGCTATGTTCCGAGATTATTTATACGTACATCAATACATCCTGCATATACAAAAATATATTCTTCTCACCTGCAAAAGTACGATTTAATCTCACGTTAGTATAAATTAATTATACATTGTTCTTACATAAAGACCTTTTAAAAAAATCCGTTAATATCGGGGAGCATAAATTAATTAATTAATAAAAAAATGAAGGAAAAGCTGTATTATATTGCACACTGGTTACAAATTATCTTTGCATTTGGATAACTTTTTTCTTATGGATAAATATTAGTTTTTCTCGCCAAATACTTAGTATTTGCACAAAATACGTCATGTACGATGCAGAACATATCAGCATCTTTGCGCCAAGCGCTTACGCTGCTCATCAAGAAGCATGGATGCCTCGCTCATAATTTTAGCAGTAGTTCGTACCAAGAATAATAATTGATATTCATCTATAACGGTCAACGCTGCCTTCGTCTTGATGAGAGCGTGAAGTACGTTCGCTCGTTCGAGATCGAGCCATCTCTGAAGCGCCACTTCTCTTTCCCGTGGACCACCAAGTGGCACATCGGCCGGGCCCCACAATGAGAATTCCAACACGGATTTCACCTAAAAGCCAAAAGAATTAAACAATAATTTTATCCGAAGAATGCAGATTGTGCTGGCAACTAATAAATTTAGTAAGTACAAATATGAGACATATAATAGCAACAGACATGTAAATGCATATTAAATAAGGCATTGCTATCAACAATTTTTAGTTTAAAAAGGCATGCAAATTTAATAATTAAAAAAGATATAAGTATAGGCACGGTAAAATAAATTTATAATTAAATTGCAAATATTTGCACGTGCATCCTGCGAATTTGAATGAAATTGAAATAAGTTTTCACCTGCGAGAGGGTAACCGCTTTCTCACGTATCAGTAAATCTTGTATGAGAGGTAGTTCGTCCGTCAGATGCAACTGTTGCAGTGCTATTAGAGCGCATTCGCACAAAGAGACCCGTTCCTCGCTAGACTCGTCGCTCGGGTCTATGTTTAACCTCCTGCAAAACGGAAGTTAAACATTGAATAACGGGATCGTGGAGATCCGTGCGATTATATTATTATACTGCGTCAAGTTGTCGTTACACAAGAAAATACTAACCCTTGTAGGAGGTACAGTCGATAATAAACATCCTCTCTGCAAAGTACAACGTCGCTTAGAGATTTGCTGGCATCCTCGATTCCGCGTGCTTGAAGACTCTTCAGAGCGTTGACCAGTTGAAGAAAGACGAACGACGTTTCTCTGCTCGCGCCCTCACCGTTTATGTCCTTCGACATCGCTCCAAATGATTGTATGGTAATGACATTCAGGCATGGAAGAATTGAAATTGTAGCTGAAACAAGAGAATTATTGTTAAATACGTAGTAATTTATATTTTTTTAATGTTTGTTTGTCGCGAAATTTCAACATGTATTACCTACCTTCGACATCCTCGTTCCTAGAAGGTTGAATCTTTTCAATTATCTCTTTCGGCACCTTATCTACAAATTCTATTATAGGCGTTAAATAAAAATCCTTTTGTGGCATAGGCATAACTAAATCAAACGCTATGCAAAGAGTGACATTTTGATCATTCCACGTAGCAGGACAAAATATTCTTCTACCGATGGAGACCGATGACAAAGTATCGACGTTAAAATGCTTCAATCGGGGATTCGCATTTTTGAGGGCACGCAGATTTGGGGGAAACTGGACAGTTTGATTTTCCTGAAAAGACGTAGTCAGAAAAAATATCACCTTTTATTATTTTATTGCTGCATAACAAATAGACAAAGAATATTTTGAACTTAAAATATTCCACGTGTAACTTCCTTCAAGGAAATTATCTTCTTGAGTCTGCGGTAAAGTCTATAGACATAGAGTCCAGCTACTCCTACAAATTGAGGATAACAAAATCTCTACACGAGAGATCGACAAGAAACTCGTTTGTATGTGTTTCAGGCAAACAAGAACATACAACGGTAAATAATTACAATATAGAGCTAACCTGTTCAAGAAATTGGGCGAGCGCTTCGTGATTCGCCACAACTACCGCGCCATAATTATCCTCGAGGCTTCGATGAACGATAGTGCGCCCCCGGCGTTGCCTCAAGCGGCCCATCCTCAGCTCGTCATCCGCGTTCTTCCAATCTTGATCCTCCTCGGCGCCCTGGAGTTCACGGGCGTTCGATTAAAAAGGGACGTTTAATGGGAGCAAAATGAAAAAAAACATAAACTCTGAAAGCGTACCTCGTCACCAGTGTAGAAGGTATACGGCGCGTAAAGTTCGCTCTCCGTCTCGCTGCCGCAATACGGCAACGAGATCGACCTCACGAACGAGAGTTGATGATGAGCCTTTGACTCCCCGATTATTGCACTGCTGTCGGACTTCCTTTTACATGCGGCGCGGAATCCGTTTCCGCTTCCGTGCCGCAGCTCAAGATTCGAATCGCACTCGGGCGAACTCGAGAGGCACTCGTACATATGACTGTCGTTGGATGTCTATTGAAATGCAAGTAATTGCTGTACTATCAAATCGCTATTGAAATGGTTTCCAAACAAATACAGCACATACGGCGCATATTTTACCGGATATAAATTTCCTTGGCATTTTTTTCTCTTGAATTTTTAGAGAATTGCTGTGTTCTTATATTATTATTCTCTTGTATCTTTTTTTATTGATGAATGAAAGAAAAATTAACGCAGAAATTTTTGACAAAAAAAAATATGACGTCGATGTTACCAATTTTATATATAAATTCTAAAAATGAAGTTTACTTCAATCTGCTTTCCCTTAAAGATATTATCCATCACTTTCTCTTTAGCGTTTTTTTTTCCTATTTCCGTTTGACAATAAAAATATGTACAGGAAATTATCGCAGCAACAATTACAAAGCAATTATCTTCTTTTCGCTGTTTACCTTTCCCTGAGATTTATGAACATTCATTCTATATATAAAGAATTAAAGAATCCTGGATGCAGCGTGTGAATATTGTTCGTATTAACATTTTCATGCTGCAGTCCAACCATAGTAATCGATTCACATTCAATGTTTGCGTGTACGTCGTCTAGGTCTGACTTTAGACAGACTGATTTGTAGAAGAGTCTCTCTTACCGGCGACTCGGAAGTGGGTCGTGCAGTGGCGAGCCTATCGTAATCCCGGTGCTGATCTTCAGCCGACGTACCCAGTGACCTTTTCGTGACGGGTTGGGAAATTGCTCGATCTCTCATGCTGGCAGTTCTTTGGGGTTTCGAGGGTGTCAGGGCACTGCGTACCTCACCTGTAACATCCTCCGCTGCTGCAGGCACGATCCGCCATCGTCAAGCGCCATGGGTTAGTATCACAAGACACAAGGCATGTCAACGAAACGGGCTAGTTATCCGGGCTTAGATAGTTCGCCTGACACACTACTGGGATATACTACTGGAGGAACATCCGCGCAACGCAGAGTTTGACGTAGCGATACGATGGACGTTAGTTCACTCATGGCTCGACGTATGTAGACTAATCGCTACTGGTACATGAAAACTATTTTTTTTTAATATCCAAATAATCTCTAATATAGAGTCTCTGATCTAAACCCGATTTTATGAGCACTCAAGCGTTGATGGCTAACGTGGACCATGCGAGGATACATCTTTCCGACGAAGCCTTCGAGCAACGTCTATCACGCTACAAGCGAAAACGGGCATTGGGATCGACGAATAATATAGCACATACGGCATCTTTTATCCTTCTGCGGGTGGGAATCTTCGACTTTTACAAACGTACATTATGTATAGCTTTTAATTGAATTCACAAGACTCCTTAGATATCCTAAGATATCGATTACAGCGCATGCAATGCGTGCGGCGTTAGTTGCACCCAGCGTCGGTTAGAGGAGTCCTCGACTAACGTTGCTCGTGGTACGCACCGTTACGTAACCACTGTAGAAAGAGGAAAAAAAAAAGAAAAAGAGGAAGAAAACGGAGAGAGACGTGAACGCGGATATGCGCGCGATTTACGCTTGAGTAGTCGCGCTTATGTCGGCGCGATGGACGTCGCCGTTGTTCGCGTTAATGAGAGAAGGAAGAGACAGAAAGATGCGGAGGTGCAACGAACAAGCCACAGCATCACAGGGGATTATGTACCGTACGGTATACGTGAGACGGCGCGATCGAAGAGAAAGAGTGACTAAGAGAGCCGAATGATTGGAAAGAACAAGACTCTAAATTTCTTTTTAAACAATATACGTTTTATTCATCAGATACAAATGTTCGATATTACAGTTCTTGTACAGTTTACACTGTTACAAAAAGCATTTCGTCGACAAATACAACAAATAGCACAAATAACATTTTACTTAACCAGCCATTCTCAAACTTTATATTGTCTGATAATCTTATCGCGGAAACTTGCATTGCAAAAGCAGTCGTGCCTCAACAATAAAAAGCTATAAGCCTTCAATCGATATTGCTTAATATTACATTACGTGAAACGATACCGGAGCTTAAAAGCCGAGTCTTGTCCGAAAGAATAGGAATACCCTCTTTCAGTAAATATTACGAAACATTATTATCAATCTAATACGTATCACAGAATATTGTGACTTTCTAAGATCTAATAATTTTAGTTCCTTTAGGACTTACAAATCCATCCTTACGATTTGTATCTTATAGAAAATGTCGCGTTTCCATCATCGGGAATAATCATCGAAATTTGAATTTGTCTAAATTATATCTCAGTTTCAAAATTCCGAGTATTACCCGGCCAACTGCGCGACGCCCAGAATTATAATCGCGTGCAGTTCGTTAAGTGAAAAATCATCTATTCTCCCCGAGGATGCAAGTTAAAACATCACCACGTGGCTCAATCGCTGTACCCACGCAAGCGAAGCGACGTCTCTCCCGTTTTAAAAAGCGAGGTTGGCGCGAGGATTCGTGTGAGTATGGCTGTTAACATCGAGAATGGTCGCGACGATTAACTCAGTTACACTGTATAGGCCTGAACTTACCCAGATTCGCGTAAATTGAATCCGAGGTCGTCGACGGCCTCCAAGTGGCTTTCGACGTCTTGTCGTTTCTGGAAGCGACGTTCAATTTGATCTCTGCACGAGGTGGCGGCGGTCTGACTGGTTTATCCACCAAATCCAATCTCGACCAATCCTCGAGGGATTGATTCCTTGGCGGCGGGGGTGGTTTGCCAGGTCTCGCTGTAATAATAACGTAATGTTTCTTTTCTTTCGTGACGAGGTTGCAGGGTGTTCCAGAATGACCGCCAAATATTTCGATGCTGGTAGAGTCGATTAAACTGAGTCGGAAATTGCCTTTGACAATTTTTGCAATAATTAAGCAAGTTATAAATTAATCGCCGAATATTGATTTTCAATAATTTTTTATTCAAATACTAACCAACTTTACAGAAAACAGCAGGAGACAAGAATTGTTTATTTTCTTCTTATAAAATTCTGAGAATTTTTTAGTACCGCATTTTCTCATGTTAGTAAAAATAATTGCCAATAAGAAAATGCAGTACTAAAAAGTTGACAAAAAATTTTAAAAAAGTTCTTACAGTGTTTTATGAGAAAAAAATAAATAATTTTTGTAAAGTTAATAGTACTTGAATAAAAAATTATTGAGGACTATTATTTGACGATTTTTAGTAGGTAATTAATATCTTGTTAACTATTGCGAAAAGAATTGCAATACGATAGAAGACTTTTCGATTCAATTTAGTCCGCTCTATCAGTATATGAAATATTTAGCGGTTATTCTGAAACTGCCTATATATTGGGTGTATTCAGTACTATAATCGCTCGCTGAGCGACTAAAATAGCGGTCAAATGTGATTAATTCTTACCTTTAGATCCAACCAATTACATTAAATTGTTACTTAATTGCTTAGTGAGCAGCTGTAGTACTGAATGCATCTACATATAATGTACATGTACCTATGTATATATATTTTTTTACACGCTTCCACGTCTTTTTAATAATTTAAAATGTCAATCATTTTTTTCGTATCACGGAAAGAATGATTTTGCTATAATATCTAAAAATTTAGCTAGATAGAGAAATTATTTTTCAACCAAATTATTTTCAAATCTGTATCTACCTAAATTTCTAGATACTGCAACAAAAATCGTTCTTTCCGTATATTTAATATTTTATCGCAAACAACTTCGTACTTCGTACTTACCCGCGATCGATGGAGGCAATCGCGCCATTCTCGAGCCATCGTTTTTAGCACCGCAGGAATCCGTTTGGTCCTCATTCATCCTGGCAATGATCCTATCATTTCCCACTACCTCAACCGCGGCACCGTCCAACTCCAACGGATGGATTATTTCTAATCGCGGTTTCGGTTGCGGCGTCGACGGTATTTCGTCGGTCCTCGCACCCGACGTTTGCCCGGTAATCACATCCATGTCTTTCCTCGTGCCCATTCTCAAGAACCTCTTGAGAGAGAAACCTTTTCGGTTTCTACCTCTCTTCTTTTCCTCCCGTACATCCTTCTCCGTCGTTAAGCTGTCTTGTGACAGAGATATCGTTCTCCTAGGCACGGACTCTCTCTCGATCGGCTGCTTGGCATTTTCATTTGTCGGGTCCGGTAGATCGCAGACCGCTTTGCGAAACTTCGGACTGCAAGAGGACGATCTTTCTCGCTTCTCTTTTTCGCGAACGACTGGGGAATCAGACTTCAGATTCGCTCCCGGATTCCTGGCAAATAGAGAGGAGACTGGCATGAGATCCTCCATGGATTCCGGCGGTCGCGGAGCGATCCTTCTCTTGTTCGGCGAACGTATGAGCTCCATTGTGGAGACAGAAACCGGAGTAATTTCCGGAAATTCCTCGTCTAGCATAACATTCTCTTCCATTTCTTCGTTACTCATCGGATAATTTCTCAAAACTGGCGGTGTGGTTACGGAAGTAAACAACGGCGAGAGAGAGGATTTCAACGGAGTTCTTGCTAGATATCCAGATTCTGAGATTTGAGCTGTAATGGTTGGTGGGACTTGATCGGGTTCCGATAAAATCTCGTTCGTAACGTTCTTCTTCGTTAAGCATCGAGAGCTCATATCCTGCATACCTAGAAAGAGATAGTAGGACGCATCGTAATGATGTTAAGGGAATTTCTGCGTAAGGAAACTTTTACAAAAAGCTAAAGAATAAAAGAAAAAATTTGTTTAGATTATTTTCATTGTAACAATATTTATATATGGTTGTAAATTTCTTTTTTTAAATTCAATTAATTCTAATCAACATAAAGTTTGAGATATAATTTTTTTCTTCTCCATTCTCAAATATTAAAATCTATTTCAAACATATACGATTTCGGGACTTCAAAAAATTTCGATGGGACGTAATGCAATAATTAAAGAAGCGATCTTTCGATGATTTTCATCTCCATTTTAAGTCGAATAAAATATGATAAACATTTAAATTATTAAAAGAACAAATAAATTCGAACAATATTTTTTGTTTCTTTTTTTTTTAAATTGTATTTCAGAGCTAATCGTTAGACTCACCTAGACTTTGAGCGGACCTACTGGCGACAGTTTGAACTGAAGGAGGCGGTAACACGTAATCGCCGTTGGGTATTTTCCTCACTGCGAATGGACCATCGTTTAGGCTCGCCTTCGCGGAAAAGGTCGCTGGTTTCTGCGGTACGGCGGGCTTTGTCTTCAAGTCCGTATTGACGCTACCGTGCAAGAAAGAGGGCCTCGGTTCTGTGGTTATGATCGGCGGTGGACTCGTGGGCAACGCTGGTGGTTCCGTCACTTCTTCCTCATCCGCTTTGCCATCCGGTTCGCCCGCGAGCTCGCGACTGCTGTCGAAACAGAATTTTTTCCGTTCCGCGCCCTCGCACTCTCCTTCGACCTCGCGTATCTGCGACGACGGAGCTTCCTTACCATTGTCGACACCGTTGACATTCTTGTCGACATTCATCGATCGATCACTCTCCGGTGTCTCCTCGTTCTTCGAAGGCGTCAACGGAACGAGCTCGATCCTCTCTTCTTTTCCTTGGTCTTGTTTCGCACAATCGCTTTTACTTGTCATCGTCCTCTTTACGCTCTCTCCCACGTCATTACTCAGCACAGATTGCGTAGACATTCCTGACGAAGTCTCGATTTCAGTCTTCTTTGTTGCTGAAACGGTGTTAAGGGGGACACTTGTGGCGTTATTCTTGTCGACTTTAGAGACGGACAAGTATTTCTGCGCCGTTGTTTCCATCTTCACCGCATCCATATTGGCAGTATCCGCCGTAGTCTCCCTTCGCATAATGGAAATCATATTGGCAGAGGTGATCAACGGCATGTCTACAATTTTTCCTAATTCTGAGGAAGATTTTTGTTCTTGCTCTTCGATCTTATTCCGCTCTGGACCACTGAGTTTCTTTGCGGCCTTTAACATTTAATATAAAAATATCTATTGAAAAACTTCTTGCTTGCAAAGTGATATTTAAATTCGTAAAATGATTTGATGACTTTTACTTATAATATTGCTTTATAATATTCTTATCTAAATAATCTTAGTGTAAATTGTACTAAACTGAACTTTTCTAACAGTAAATGTAAGAATTGTTACAAAATCATTAAGGATAGTATCTTTTTAATAAATAATATTGGTTAAGAAAGAATAAAAAAATAATAGATATTATTTTATCAGAAGGTGCAATATCATATGATTCGTTTTAATGTCATTTAAATATGCTGTAATTAATAATATTTAACTTGCTAATATTCAACTTTGTTTACAAAATCAAGAATAAGAACAAAGAATAACTCAACTTGTATCTAATTAAATAACCTGTTTTGATGAAAATAAATTTCGCGATAAAATTTAAATTATTTTATTTATACTTTCGTTTTACTTACTTCGGCAGTGTTATCCGACGATCCATCGTCGCCGGGTTTTAATCTAACAAACGGACTGGTTTGTAAGTTGATCGTGTTGATCTTTCGATCGGTCGGTCTTTTGGCGGTGGGTACGGCCTCTTCTCCACCAAAAGGCGTTACAGAGACCAAGAGAGTCGTTTTCCTGCCATCGGCGTCTCTCTGTATCTTACCCAGCATCAGTGAGGCGAAAGATTTGGCAGGCGACGCCGTCGTTGACTTGGACACGTCGTGCGAACTGTTGGTCTCGACATTCGTCAAATTTGCGGTGACCGTATTGAAGTTCGTGTTCGCGCGGGTCAAGTCGAATAACGCTCGTTCCTCCTCGCTGTCCGGCACCAGGTCCTCCGATTTCGCAGAGGAGTCGATCTGGATCCCATCCCTATCCTCCTCACCGTCAGAGAAGTCATCGCCGCCATAACCGATTACCTCGGTGAGAGACTCGGGGAAACCGACGTTCTTTTTTCGTTGATCTTTCCGACAAACCGTTTTGTCACGAAGAATACTCTGCAAGATTATTCGATCATCTGATTCCAATAGGAAAGGAATGCGATTTTTTTTATCTATAATGTATAACTACACAAACAGGAAACCTTTTAATCGCTCTAATTACTAATGATTATGTCCCGTTAATTAGATGTAGTTACGCGATATACAAATAACTTGAAAAACGAGTTGTTTTAATATGACTTTTAATATGATGATGATAGAGAGTGTTATCTTCATATAAACTATCGACTACTTGATATATTATATATTGATCTTTTGACATTAATTATAGCGCGTGCCGTGTATATATAAATTGAACTGTATATATAAATTGTAAATAATATAAATCATAAAAGCAATCAACAATAATTATAAGTGTTGTTGGCGTTCAGCAGAAAAAAACTTTAATAAACGCTCTGTTGTGATTCAATTATATTTTTTTAATCTAAAATTGAGAAAGAACAACATTCCGCTGGATCTAAAAATATAATTCAAATAAACCCAAAGTGTTTTTAACATAAAGCTGTTTTTCCTGATTGCTGCAAATATGCAACGTACATAAACAAAATATATATTTTGAATGTAGTTGTGATATTTCTATAATCTAATTGAAAATTTACGCTTAAATACAATATACAAATCTATTGCGTGTATAATATTGTATATACACAAGCATATATTATTATGTACGATGTATTTTGTACCTGCAACTGAAGATGATCAATCTTCAAATTCGTGGAAGCCTTCTCGACATTCAATCGCAAGATATCGTCAGCCGGCGCATGTTCCTCCTTCGGTTTGAAACAGTTCGAGCAGAGCTCCTTCTTCCAGGCGTTTTGCACAAAGCGATTGCATTGTGTGGACATTGTTGCCTCACCGCGACAGCGACAGCGAAAGCCCCGTTACATCATCACTCTGAAAGGAAAGAGGTGAAATAGTAATCGATTCGATTCTTCAGCCGGTGCAACGATCAACGGTGCATTGTGCACGCGGAACGAACGGACGTGATAGAGCGCGAGAAATTATTTTTGTTCTGAGAAAATATACTTACATGTAAAAATAAATTTGTGAATGAATTTTAAATGTTTTCTTTAAAATTTTTCAAAATTCCGTTGGACAGCTCAGGTTATTACGGAGGATCAATTTGCAGCCGTTCCCTAGAATTCGCTTAACGACGAAGCGCGCCTGTCAACGAGCGATTACCTTGGATGGTCGTTAAAAACCAAAACGAAACGAGTGAGTACATTTTCCTGTCCGCAGCGTCGGCAGTGGCTACTGTGGCAATACAATCGGGACAATTGACTGGAGCTGCCCGACCGGCTGAGTAATTGCCTCACTTCCGGTCTCGGCTTTATTTGCAACAGCGATGGCCTAGCCTGTACCCGTCATTAGCAAGTAATAACGTAAGAATATTGTGCCATTGTTGAATTTTTCTTTCTATGAAGGTAGTCGAAAATGAGAGTCGAGCAGTTCTTCCAATTAATTTTGCTCCGTGCTACATTCCGGATATTTCTTTAGATTATATCTATTCACGCAAAAAAATATTTTGCTGCTCCAGCTAGAATTATCGTTGTTTTTTTTGTATCTGATAGAAAATTATGTATGTATAAAATATGTATCATATACGTAGAATTTATAACATAAATCTAAATTCTATCTCTGTGATTAGATGCAGTGCATATCCAATATCAGTACTTGTTAGAAATTTATCTATTTTAGCTATTTTTCTTACTTAGATAATTTTCGCTATAACTGCAAGATCACTTTTTTGAGTGATTCTAAAATCTATAAAAATAATTTTTTCTCATTAACGATGCACTAACTGATATAATCAAAAGTGAATGCTTTTTGAAAAGCAATTAGTGGGAAAATTATTTTTATAGATTATATTATTCAAAAATTTAATGTAGTGACTTATATAATAATATATAAAATATTCTACATCTGAAATAACGATTTTGTTGAAATATCTAAAAATTTAGTTAGGTGCAGATCAGAAAATAATTTTGTTGAGTCATCAAATAATTACATAGGAAACGCAAGCATGATGTAAACAATGCTGCAAAAGCATTGTTTTGACATTCTAGCAATCAGCTCCAGCGTTCTATGTAATTATTTTGATCCAACAAAATTACTTTCAAATCTGTATTTAACTAAATTTTTAGATACTTTAATAAAATTGAACTATTCTTTTTGTTAATGCAAAATTATTTATTAATTTTTTGATTGGCATATACGCAGACAACATTAGAGAGCAACGACGTCGCAAAGATTTCTTGAATCATCCTCTCGCTATTGACAAATATTCGCTGTCTATTGCAGAAGCTGCGAAACTGGAGAATCCTCTCTCTCTTAATTTAGATATTAATCGCAGGGGAAATCGCGTGCGCGACACACTGGAACGAAGGATATCATCGAAGACGAAAAGAACACGACGACGTCCACGATGATGTCCCATTAGCATGCAGGACTTGCGAGTACTTGCAGACCAGGCACAAAGTACCGTTGCCGATCTCGTTGATCCGTTACGTCTCTCGCGTTCCTGTCCGCGTCTTTCATACACGTGGAAAATCTGTGACGCAGTCACATAAAAATTTAGATTAATATCGTAAACGTGCTTCATGGTTGGATACCAAGTTCCTCTAAGAAAATCAGGAAAGAATCCTTTGCCAGTTCGGACCAGTTCCAAGACAGAAAAAAAGGAAAAGAAGCAGGGGAAGGGAAAAAGGTTGAATTGCAGTTCGTGCAGTGGCATTGAGGCGAACGTTATTCTCGCGACAAAGCAATAGGAACTTCAAGGTTGTTATTTCGCTTAAATGGAGTTCAAGAGGTCTAAGTAGACAAACGCCTGAGAGTTCCGTGTTTGGAATGTGATTTAGCTCTTCAACTGAAACACTTTAATAAATTTTTTTAATTCCAGAGTACTACATATGCTGCAATCACATATTTATTTCTCTATAAATTTATTGATAGAAAATAACTTTTGTATCATACATTAAATATTTCAAGGAATAAAACGTTTAAAAATATATAAAAAGAAGAGCATAAAAAACCACAGCACAAGTTATAGTTTGTGATATTTAATTATTATTACATTAATTAAAACATTAAACGGTTCGGCCACAATCTGGCCATCTTCAGTAATTCAATAATGTTCTTAAAACGCAAAATTACATCTAGTTGACATTAAATTCAACAGTCGGGTGTTGTAATTAAATAAACGTGTTCTTTTCTATGTGAAGATGCTTCATACAATAACGTTATAATGCCAGTTGTCATATAAGAAAAGTGTAGAACAAGAATTTCTAGATTCTAATTTAAATAAAATTGTATATCATTAATATCTTCTAGTCGGAATGTAAAGAAATAGAATCATTACCTGTTTTACAGCAAAAAAACTAAACGATGAATCTCAAGTACTTCTTTTGCACAATTAGAATATTGTCGTGACATTATGTGTTGTTATTTGTCCTATCATGTATTTTACCACTATTTATATATCTGAGTCAACAGTTTAGAAAGTTCTAGAATTATTTATTAAAAGAAAGAGAGATCCTTCTTTAGAAGAGGAAAATATATTTTTAAATTAGGAATTATATATTATATTTTTAAATTTATAACCACGTTAGTTTTCAAGATATAATAAAACATTTATTAGATATCATTGTTTCTTTTCGAATATTTTTCGAAAATAATTTAATTTAGAAGTTTTTAAATATTTTTAATTTGTCTTATTTTTTAAATCAAGGATCTTTAATTTTATGAAATAATATTCTTAATCCATCGACATAAATTATTAAATTATGTAAAAATTATACGAAATTCTTTCTTATATTTTATATCAAAATAAGCTTAATATATGCCATCAATAAAAGTTATTTAAAGGAGTAAAATATATACTCCATTATTTATTCCGTTATTAATTAAACATGCAATATAAATTTTTTATAAATAAATAAAAAGTCTGATCTGTAAAGATATAATTACGTTTTAATGTTTTTCTTACATAGAATTTTAATTATTCAGATCTCTCTCTCTCTCTCTCTCTCTCTCTCTCTCTCATCTTCCTAAACCAACAAAACGCATTAACTTAAAATATACAAATCGTTCTTTGACGACTCCGAGTTACTGCGGAATAATAATGTTGCCTTTGCAATTATTATAAATTAAGTACATTCTTCATAAACGGTTACCGGATAACTGTACATTCAGTACTAATTGTCGTAGTTTACTACTCGGAGATTACTGTAAATTAATCCCGTGTCTACGTAACAGCGTATTCTACGAAAAGGGATAAACCCTTCATATTTTTACACGGAACCGTCTGGGTCGCTACAAAGAAGTTCCTTTCTTCTTCGGTTACAGAGGCGGACCTTGTCGGGACTTCTCATTCCATTGAGATGACGCGTGGCGTGGCGCGCCAAGGCACAGCAGACGAAGAGCAAGGCGAGGTTCAATGCCAATGAATTTTACATATTGCAACACTCGAAGGCTTTAATCCTACAGAACTCTTGGGAAGGCAGAAAGTTCCTCGCGGCTTTGTTATTTACGCCGCATAAAATCTCTTGTTTAAAAAAAAAAAAAAAGACCTTAATTATCTGTTTCAAATGTACAGAGAAATTTAATTATAGTTCACAGAAATAGCTTTTGGATTCGTCTCAAGGTTGTATATAAGAAGAAATCGATTAAAAGTATATAAATAAATATCTACCAAAAATTTCAATTTTAATTAAGAATTCATCAATATTAATCTGCGAGAAATCAGTCTTCAGATTTCCTTATTGGATATCTAATATAAACACGGATTTATAAACACGTTTATCACGAATAATGATTAACCGATAATGAGTAATCCAAGTATTCAGTTAATGAATGCTTGTAAGTCATAAGTAACAAGCGATACTATTTATTTAGTCTACCTTTGTGCGGAAATGACAATGCAGTGATAACGCATTCGGCGAAGCAGACCCTGTGAATCATCCCGTGCGAAGAAAAGTGCGTTGCGGAGTAAATAAATAATTATCGACGTTCGTCTCGCGTTATTTCTCACAGAAACGATGATAACGCTAATATGCATTACGGAAGAAATGACGAGACTATTCGCCATCAGACATATGTGTCTTCGCACAAATACAAACCGGATGTGCACTACAAACTCGAGCGCAAAGAACAGGAGAGAGTAACAACGAGGACTTCCGTGATCATAGGAGTGAGAGATTCCGCTATGGCGCGACTCACATTCTTTTCGTCGTACTGCAATAATTACTGTTAGTCTGCCGCTTGATTGCGGGCATTAAACTCGCCCCTAACAACCGTAAGACGTCTGGGAATTTTCGACGGAGCGCGAACGAAGAATTACCTGGAGGAGAGAAGAGGAAGGTGGACCGTTCATTTGAGATCGCAGGGTACGTCGTTCGAGAGCAGTCGAGAGGCAAAAGACTTAATGGGTCAAGAGCGAGGTAATAAGTAGCTGGTACTAGCCATTCGAGGCGCATTAAGAGCACGGATTACATCATTTCATATGAGACATCGTTTGCTCGGAAGCAGTCAAGATCGTCACAATTGGATGATTATCGTGTGTACCGAGTCTTTTATACGAAACGTTTGTAAGAAACGGTCTGTATTTTTATCAAGAAAATAGAATTAATTCAGAGGATTAATAATAATAATAGTAAAAATAGATTTTTAGGAACAGCTATCGTAAATTAAATTAAAGATAAGCGGGACTGTAATTGAGCGTGAAATTATCACGATTTAATGTAGTCCACTTTCAACTCATAAGGTGACAACGTTTTATCATAGTTATTATTCTTTTTATCTTACAATTTACATTTTTATCATATATTATTTGTAAAATCATTATATATATATAATATATATATATATATATACATATAATTAAAAAAAAAACTTAA